TCCTCCTCCTCTGAACCACACCTCATAACACAAGGTGAACTGAATGACCTTGTCAGGGATTTGGAACTACCCAAGAGTAAGGAAGAGCTGTTGGGCTCCAGACTACAGCAGTGGAATCTCCTGGCAGGTGATGTTAGGGTTTCCATGTTCCGTGACCGTCAAAAGGATCTTGTCCCATTCTTCTTCATGGAAGGTGATCTTGTAGCCTGCAACAACATCGATGGTGTGATGGCAGCCCTCAACATCGTTCACGATCCAGATGAGTGGAGATTGTTCATTGATTCATCGAAGACGAGTCTTAAAGCTGTTTTACTGCATAATGGCAATGTTTTGCCATCAATTCCAGTTGATCATGCAGTCCATATGAAGGAAACCTATGACAACATGAAACAACTTTTGAGGTGCATAAACTATGACCAACATCTGTGGCAGCTTTGTGGCGATTTGAAGGTTGTTGGTCTCTTGCTTGGTCTGCAGACTGGATACACAAAGTACTGCTGTTTTCTCTGGGAATGGGATAGTCGTGCAAGAGATTCCCACTACATCAAGAAAGCTTGGCCACTCCGACAGTCATTGGAGCCTGGGAGGAAAAGTGTTCAGCATCCACCACTTGTTGAATCAAGGAAGATTTTGTTACCACCCTTACACATCAAGCTGGGTCTGATGAAGAACTTTGTCAAGGCCATTGACAAAACACAAGCAGCTTTCAAGTACCTCCGTGGAAAATTTCCAAGGTTAAGTGAAGCTAAGAGAAAGGAAGGTGTCTTTGTTGGTCCTCAGATTCGAGATGATGCATTTGACCATGCAGTGCATGGCAAGGAAAAGATGGCCTGGAAAGCCTTCCAGTTAGTGGCAATAAAATTTCTCGGAAACAACAAGGCAGACAACTACAGGTTGTTGGTGGAAAACCTCCTCAAGGCATACAAAAGCCTTGGTTGCAACATGTCACTACAGATACATTTTTTGCACTCTCATCTAGATTTTTTCCCACCGAACTGCGGAGCAGTGAGCGACCAGCACGGCGAGCGATTTCACCAGGACATTGCAACAATGGAGAAACGGTATCAGGGCAAATGGAGCCCATCAATGCTTGCAGACTATTGCTGGACAGTGACAAGAGATGCTCCATTTAATGAAAACAAGAGACAAGCCAAGAAGCGCCGAGTAGACACTGAATAGGACTAAATTATGTACATAATAGTTTTTTGCCTTTTGTTTCATAATAAATTTTATTTATATAACCCTTTTGCTGATTTTTAAAGTGTTACATAAACAGGACAGGTGAAATATTATCATGTAAAGCAACCATAAACACATGAAAAGACCTAGGTTTACAATTTATGATTAAAACTCTACTATCTACACAATATACATAGACATAAAATGTAAAAACTTAAATATCTTAGAAACAGTAGCCAATCAGTTGTTTTAATTGTCATATTTGAATTCAGCACATCAAAATACATAATAAATAGCACATTTTATCTCTGAAGCAGACGACTTCTCAAAAATTGTAGACCAGTGTAATGAGTTCCAGCTCAAATGGCTAGAGTAGGTATTGCTATCCTAGTCTACAAAGCAGGGCAGTGCTGCCTAGTAGCCAGAGTCCTTGGGGTTGCCCTTGCTCTCAGGGGAGCGTGGCCTAATAGCCAAAATCCTTGAGCAGTGCCCATGCCCTGCCGAATGTGTGGGGCATGGTAGGGGGACCTGGGCCCACCCTTCTCCAATGCCTCCTGACCCAGGGCCCTGTGAAACCAGTGATCCATGATTTGGTTCAGTTTCCTGTTTTAACAGTCACTTTCCCTGGGTTCCTGCTTTGTCAGTTCTCCTGGCAATGTCGGCCTTCTGGCTCACTCTTGTCCTCCAGTGTCAGCAGGGGTTCTGCTGTCGATCCCACTGGCTCGGCCTCCACGGTCTGTAACTCCAGCCACTCCCTGGCAGGAGCTAGCAACATGTATCCACTCTCCTCCTCAGCCAGCACAAACTGAGCTGGGCCACACCCTTTTATAGCCTGTCTCCAGGTCGAGTATGCCTAGCAGGGCAAGGGGGCATGGCCTCTTCAGCCCACAGCGTGCAGTTGACCCCAGCTGGGTCAGTGCCAGGTAGATACACCCCATCGCACCCAGCTTAACTCTACTGACTTCATTATTGTTTTTCCTGATCAAAATCTATTTTTATAGGAGCAATGAGCTACATTTAAAAAAAAAAAAATTGCCCACCTTGATTTAAAGATAAGGGCAACAGATCTACTGGCTGGAAGGTGAAAGCAACCCTGCCTCAGTGGGCTCCTTGAGATTCAACACTGAGTGGTGGGGTTAGTAATGTTTTAAGTGTCTAGCTTTGTACTGTATTACATCTAATCATTTATTTAGAAAAAACACAGTTGGAAAGAAACAAGAAGCCACAATGCTCAACTACCTATTTAGGTACTTATATACCTCCCTTACTATAGTATTCAGTGTCTGAGGGATGGGTGAAGGGCAGCAATGCTGGCAAGGTAATTTTTTAGTAGCTGTGATCCAAGAATGTAGGATTTGAAACCTATTTTTTGCCAGCAAAACCAAGGAATTTCAATGTAAGGACCACTAAGCTCACACTCTTTCAATATATAAACATAAAATTATAAGAATTAAGGATGAACTGTCAGCTGCTACTGGTGAAAGTTGTGATTTATTATTCCATGTCAAAAGTACATTCTTAAATGTACTGCTGCTAGTAAGGACAAACGGGATCTTCTAAAATTTGGAGTTGCCAATTTGTAGGCAGTGTTGAAATGCAGTCATGCATCATCCTTTGTGATCTTTTCTCTATAAGAAAACATCTTTATTTTAATTTTAAATAGATCTTAAACTTCTACGTTCCCTGGAACATACTGGCCTTTGTATGTACATCCTGGAACCGATGTCTTATTGGGAGGGGAAAGTAAAGCCCTACTAAGTTATGTGGCCGTGGCTGAGAAAAGCAATATTAAACGTGTTAATTGTTAATTTAAAAATGTAATTATCTCAAAGTCATGTACTGGCACACAATATAAAATATATATTCTGCAAAAATAGAGGCAACTTAAGTCAATGTTCACATCTCCTGGCAAAGTACACTGGCCAAAAGGGAAGATGGTGAAGTTACACCAGCAATCACTTTGATCCTCACTTCTCCCAGGCTGCTTTTACTACTGAGCAACAACCGGTTGTCAGGAACAACAGAACATCTGCCTGTGTTGGAAGAATTGTCTTTTAATTTATCCCATAGATTTTGTGTGCAGGAGGAAAAGACATTAAATCATGCTTTTGTATGTTCTAAATCAAGGGCTGGCTCAGACTGACAAGACTGCAAAGAGTCTCTTATGCTGATGTTGACTGTTCTGTGTATGTCAGGTGGGTGGGTGGAGTAGTTCAACGGCCTTGTTGCTGCTTACAGCTGTCAATCAGCAACAGCAAGTAGTCTGGATCTCCATGTGGTCAGGGAGAAATCCAAAGCCAGGATAGACGGTGGTAGCAACAGAAGCCGTCTGTGTGCATCAGATCAGACATTGCATAGTCCAACGCTGCTGGCAGGAATTATCTCTCTGAGGGGGTTGGATGCCGGCTCTTATCAACCCTAACACCAATTGTCCATTAAGGAGCTCTCAGCTCAGGGAAAGCTTTCCCTTTCAAAATAAAGCCAGACAACAAAGTCCCTCACATGTTAAGAGAAAGTAGGAGCTACCCTAGCAGACTAATGATTTGATAGAAAATAATTGCCACTGATAGAGAGAGGATGTGCGTGCTTATGTTTGCATGTCTTTTCCTATCTACCTTAGGTACTTGTATAGTTCCCATTACCATGAATACCTCACAATCCTTAAAGAGACAAGGTGGGTATTTTTTATTAGACAAACTTCTGTGGATAATTGTTTTGTGTTTCCTACATGATTTCTAGGTAAGTTTCCTGGTTGTTTTCTTCCAATGGGCAGGTGCATGTGATGATTTCTTGTCTGAGATGTACTCCAAATGAGCCATGAGGTGCAGTAAATGGTTCTTCAGTTTTTCACCAACCTTGTCTCTCTAATATCCTGGGACCAACACAGCTCCCCCACCACGGCATATCACAGTCCTTAATATATTACTGTAATCCTCATAACACACCTCCGAGGCAGGGAAGCACTGCTACGTCCATTTTACACAGAGGGAAGCAGGGGTGCTGGAACCATTTGTTCACTGGGGGTGCTAACAGCCACTGAACCAAACTGTAAACCCTGTATATGATGGAAACTCCTTCAAGCCAGGGGGTGCAGCATATATAGGGGGAACCCAGACATAGCCAGATAAGTGATTTGCAGCAGCTCTAGGTTTGTGATAGAGCAGGGAATCAAATCCAGGTCTGGCGAGCCCCGGTCGAACTCCCTAACCTAGACCATCCTTCCTGTCATTTAGTTTTATTACCTGAGTGATAGGGGAAACACCCAGAGAACCGATTGCACGCAATAAATTGAATACCTTGCAGTGATAATTGCCACTTAATGACTACAGGGCAGCAGTCCAAGGGAAGCCCGCCTAGGAATCAGTGCAATGTGCATACAGAGCTGAAAACAAACTCTTGCAGCCAGGCGAGTCCCGCTGCTGCAAAACCCTGGAGCAAACTCCAAAGCTGCTTCTCTGCTCATTTTGTAGTAAACAAACCCTGCTGCCTGCTCCGGCTACAGGCACCGCACCACCGAGCCAGGCTCACGCAAACACTCTGACTTACCAGCAGCCACACACACGAAACCCTCATGGAAAATTGGCCTCTGCATAATACGACAGGCAAATCGTTTCCTAAGCGGCGTGGGGCACCTATTGGCTCGGGCGGGCCCGTCAATCACACGGCGAAGGAGGGGGGAGGAGGCGGGCCCCGCCGCGGCTGCGGGGCGGGCGGGAGTTCCAGTAAGTCCCTGCCGGGCCGCCGCTGAGTCGCTGCTGCCACGGCCGCGTCCCGTACACTCAACAGGCAGCTGCACGACCGGGGGAGCGAGCCAGGCTGCAGCCGGCGGCCGCGCTGAGCCCTGCGGACCCCACGGCTGCGCTGGCCGGTGCCCCGGCCGGACAGCGCCGACCCTCCCCGGGAGCCTTGATGAAGTGGCGGAGCTAAGTGTCCTTCTCCCTCCCCCTTCTCCGGGCTCCTGCCCCCCCTCTCTGCTCGCCCCGGGAGCGCTGCGCTCCCTCCAGCCCCGCTCCGCTCCTTCCTGCGGGCTCTCTGCCCGCAGCCTCCCCGGCTGCCCAGCGGGCTCCCCTGCCTCCCCCGTGCCGGCCCTTCCCCGGAGTCCGTCCCCTCCCCACCACCACCATGGCTGAAGCGCCCCAGCTCGTGGACATCGACCCCGATTTCGAGCCGCTGCCCCGGCCCCGCTCCTGCACCTGGCCCCTGCCCAGACCGGAGTTCAACCCGTCCAGCTCGGCCACCTCCAGCCCGGCGCCGTCCTGCGGGGGGCAGCCGGACGGGGCCGCCTCTGCCTCGGCGGTCAGCGTCGATTTCATCGGCAACCTGAGCCTGCTGGAGGAGAGCGAAGACTTCGAGCCGCCGCCGCTGCCCCCGGCCACCGCGGGTGCAGCAGAAGGGGCCGCTCCCGGTGGCGGCTGCCTGTGCGGGGACTTCCAGTGCCAGGAGGCCGGCTGCCTCCACCAGCAGCCCGGACCGCCGCTCCAGCAGCAGCAGCAGCAGCACCCGCCGGTGTCTGCCCTGTCCGCGGGTCCCATCCCCGGCCAGCCCCGCAAGAGCAGCTCGGCCCGCCGCAACGCCTGGGGCAACCTGTCCTACGCCGACCTGATCACCAAGGCCATCGAGAGCGCCCCGGAGAAGCGGCTCACCCTGTCTCAGATCTACGAGTGGATGGTCAAGAGCGTCCCCTACTTCAAGGATAAGGGCGACAGCAACAGCTCGGCCGGCTGGAAGGTGAGGCGGCGGGGCGTGGGGAGAGCTGGCCGGCCCGGGACCCTGGGAGGAGCGGGGACACTTGCCTCTTCCCACCTCGCTTTTTTCAGGGGAGGCAGGAAGCTCCTTCCCGGGCGGTGCAGCGCACACCCGGCCCCTCGCTAGCGGGGTGCGTGCCTGGGTTTAGGGTGCACCGGGGATTGCGGAGCATTGCAACCCCCTAGTGATCGGGGAGCTGGAGGGGAAGCAGGGCGGTTGCAGAGCGCTGCAAATTCTGCTCCCTCGCCCCCGTAAGTGAAGTGCACGAAGTTAGAGGGCAGCGTAGTGATTTGCAGGCTGCCCTCTGCCCTCGCTGGCTGTTCACTGACGCTGGGGTGGCCGGAGCTTAGGCAGGTTGGCTCGGTTTGCAGTGTGGTTGAATACTTTAAAAAAGTGTTTCTCCTCCTCCCTCCCCCCGAGAGTTGGTAAGAGACAGGAGGACGTGGCTTAAGGGGGAGATGCAGGGGTTACGCTGTCACAGGTGCATGTGTCTGCGGCTGTTCCCGGGGGCGAGGGGGTGCCTGCCACTTTCCCCGTTGCCTAAAAGGGCAGCCGAAGTTGCTTGTGCCGGGTTTGTAACTTAGAAGCCAGCCGGCTGCGGAGACTCGCTGTGTCATTTCCCTTTGCAGAGTTGGGACGAACTTAAAGTGACAGAGATTCAAGGGCTAGCGGAGAGCTAGAGAAGCGCAGTGTTAGGGTGCCACGTGCTGGGGGCGACAGGGCAGCAGACACTAGCTCATTTTGCCTGTACTGTGCCCGGTGTGGAGCTAAAGTTCAAGCCTGTCCATGTGTGCAATGCATTTAAAGGGCCGGTGCCTCGTGCTTTAGATCCAGTCCTAAAACACATGGCAGCGCCCTTCACCCACTGTGTGAGACCTTCCCTGTAAGTAAGTAGGGGAGTTCAGAGCCTTTTCCGACACAGACTTTAATTGCAGTTAATCTTATTGAGGGAATTTGCCATTTTTTAAAGGTAGCTTAGCTAGAGCTAGTAGCGCCAGTGCTATTTCAGGTCTAAGATATAAAATCACCTTTTCATCCTATTGTTCATTATGTGCTCAGGCATTTGATATATGCTTCACAGAAGCAAATAGACTAGTCCTTGCCCCAAGGAATTTACAGTCTAAATTCAGACATGACCCGATAAATAAGGGAGGGGGGGTCATAAACTAAAATGGGGAAGGGACATGGGCGGGACAAGGGTTATAATAACACTGCATGTTTACCCAGTGAGCTGTGTGTTCATTGTAATGGCTTTGTTAAATTTAGTTTACAGGATTTTTTAATTAGCGGGACACTGTTTCCCTTAGAATGAAGTCTGCCTGTCTAGAAGTAGCAGACTGCTAGATGACCTGTTGATCATAAAATTTACTAATCTGCCTTGTACAGGCTGGAATGGGGTAGCAAGCACACACTAGCTGTGCATCAAGTCCTGATTCCAGCTTCAGGGTAGGAGTGATGATAATAACAAATATCAGTGATGATAATAACAAACAGCCAAGAGTTCTGGTCTTTCAGACTTCTAAAGCTGTTCAACAGTGGACATGTTCTCTTTAGCAAGTGGCTCGACCTTTCTGTCACTTCACACATCACCAGCAACTCTAAAAGTCAGCCATTAGCTCTAATGATGGCTAGACAACCTGCTATATTAATAAGTTACATCTTTTCTAAAACTGTCTATTTGAATTGGATTACAAAGTGCCACTTGTCTGAATACACTGATTATTAATGCACCGCCCTTTCCCATAGTCTTTACTGGGGACAATATTTAAACAGTTAATTTACTTCAAAGAAGTTAATCTTTGGTTTGATGCTGTATAAAGCTTGCTTTGTGTACTTTCATGACAGAGGTATATAGGGTTTTGTCACTACCTACCAGATTATTTTTAGAAGAGGCCTTCTGTTTTTTTGCCTCTATAAAGGGAGAAAAATCCCCCCACACAGTGGGTTACATCACAGTCATTAATTTGATACCTCCACAGTATTTTACAAGTTTTAGTGTTTTCTGCTGGCTGGTTCATAATATAATTTCAGTCAGTATTAGTTGAACTTTGCAATGTTGTAGATTTATCAGTTTTTCCAAATACATTGTACTTGGGTTTCTAGTTTAGATAATACTTGAGGCTTTTTAAATATTGGGGTAGTTGTCCATCCAAACAATGTCTTTTAAATTTCCCCCCTCTACCTCGGGATATGGTATTCGGAAAGGAACATTTTTTGTTTTGTTTTTATAGGTAGACCGCATCCTGCAGAGTTCTTGTAGTATAAAGTTACAAAAACAAAAGGACAATACTTTGCTAAATTTACCGGTAGGAGCTAAGAAACCTAAAGGTTGATGTGTGTGAAGAAATTTGAATGATCAAGCTTAACAGAAAGACCAGCATTTAAAAATGAGATCTTTCAGGTGGTTGTGCAGTCGGTTGGTATAGATTGAGATTATGTCAAGTGCATTTTCAGTTTGAGTAAAGGAGTATTTAAAAAACTAGAAAGTCTAAAAAGAATGTCACTAACTAATTACTTTGTATTCTATTACTTATCTTTTGGTGGTGCATTGTTTTAACAAGCCCTACAGAGCTTTAGCTCTCAAATTAAGACTTTCCTGTTCCCAACATTTGTTTATAGACTAAAAAACTGCTACTGTTACTTTGTTGGATGTGGAATGTTTGGGGTTTTTGGGGGCTGTCATAGTCTATGAACCCCTATTTAAGTATGGCTTTTTAAATGTTTATTGTACTGTCTCCTTGAGCATAAGTCACTGTGATTCCTTTTTCTCCTCGTGCATATTTTTGACAGGGTGGTAGGAAAGTGGTTAACCACTTATACATCCAGTCATTCCTAATTTCTTGCTTAGGTAGTAGGTGGAGGCTTTTTTACACACACCCCCCACACACACACTTCAGGGTTAGTTATCTAAGTCCTGTTGAACTGAAAACCCTCATGCAGTCTTAACTATTGTCTTGCTACTGCTCCACCATAATATGTTCTAGAATATTCTGCTTTTAACCAGTTTTATAGCTGAGTTGATTGAGGCACAAGGAGTTCAAGTCACTTGCCTCATTTAACATGATGAATCAATGGCTCAGCTTGAATAAGGGTCTGTTTGGCTCAGGATCTGTTATTTTAGTACTGTATTGTAATCAGTGGACTTCTTTAGGTGTAATTAAAACATTCTAAATTTCAGTCAGTTATGGGCCCTGAAAAAGGAGTGTTACTTGGAAGGTTGAATATAGATTAGAGGGTAAACTTTTGCTGACAGAATTTGTAATGGTCTTGGGTCCATTTATTTATGGCCTGCAATACACAGTATAGTATAGTTGCCTCTTTCTCACTTGGATTGCATGTCTTATTTGGGTAAAATGTCTGAAAAAAACTTTCCACATTGTTATCATTAGAGTTTAGATGCTTTTACAATTATAAACCTAATGTAGTGAGCTGTCAAATTACACACCTTGTTTTGAGTAGAAATTCAGAATGAAATGTTTAAACAAGATCTAATTTCCAGTGCCTTCAACCTTAGTTATGATATTCTGCATTGGTAACTGATTATTTAGGTCACTGAATATGTCTCCTCAGTTTCAAGTGTCTGTGATTCTATAACTACCAAATTGTAACTTCAGTTGTTAAAATTCTTTTAGTGAAAAATGCAGTTTAACTAGGTCAGCTTTATCTATCAGGTACTGAAAATAAACAGAGTCCAGGTCTAGTCTGGTATATTTCTTGATTTGTTAAAACTTCATCTCTATATTGTGAATAAAAGGAATGTGAAAGCCAAAGGCAATATAATTTTACATTACACAGAAATTGTACTTAAGTACATACTTAAGTAACGTTTACTAAAGTAGGTAAAATTGATCTCAGTTATATGTGTGCGTAGTCTGCTGTAGAGTTCCTGAGAATTTCTAGTCTGAAATGTAAACTCTGCCAGCCCCCCTCAAAAAACCAATGCCCACATGCTCATCAACTCTTCTGAATGAATCATGAAACAAAGGGAGAGCCTAAACATTCTTTACCAAACCTTTTTGTACTATTGAACGCTAACAAGCACTGTTGATAACCATATTTGCTTAAAAAGAATTGTAGAAAAACCAAGATCTGTTGTAGTGATAACAAGAAAGTTACTGAGTGTGTTGTGAAGAAGCACAAAGATTTATGGTACTATTCCAGTCAAAACAATCTCTTACCCAAGTTATGCGGATAAGGGTAGAATGTGGTTAAGAAATGGAGTCTGTTGTGGTGGCAGTGGACTTACCTCTGAGGGAAATAACTATGGGTAACTTTTTTCCTTATATAAGTCTGATGATTTTTGGTTAGATATCCTATATAAACTCAGACACCTGGTGTGCACACACTGCATGATGTGCAGCTTTGTTTTACTTCATAACTGTTGTGAGATTAATTATAAAGAACATCTATCACATCCTCTCTTTCAGCACTTGCTGCTCTAGTTCTTTTATTCAGCCTTTGAAAATGGAATAAAGCCAAAAGTTGACCCTACCAACATTCAGATATCCTCAGAGTAATTCTTTAGACAGAATGTTCTGTTGAAACAGAAAATACTACTAACTTTTGATGGCTTTCGCTGTAAATTGGGTATATTATTTAAGTCTTGTGGAGATTATTAAGATTGCATCACTGGTTACACCTTCTTGACTTCTGGCTTAGTGAAGGCTTGATCACCTAGATTTACCTGTTGTCCTGGCTGTAGGAATGAGACTAGATGATAGCAAGTTGCAGAAGTATGAGTGGAAGTATGCCTGATAGGGTGAGTCCAAAGCATATGCTGAGTTGAATGTCTGTCCATAAGAATTGTTGTAGTCTTGACTAACTCATCATTGAATAAGTGTCTATACAAAGATGATTCTAGGGTGTGGTATTGATTGAAAAGCCACATAACACAATCTTAAATATTTCAAAAGCCTTTTGCAAATAGAGTACAGAGCACTTTACAAAAATTTGAGAAACCTTAATTTGGTATCTGACTAACT